GTCCTCAGAGAAGTCTGGCTCGATTTAATGTCTGTTTAAAAAGGCTGATTGCCTGGCATCTTGACTAAAGATAATGCAAAACAATAATTTGGTGACACGACATTATCAAAATATAGTATAATCTTTCACGTATTTCATGATAAAATTCACATCTTTCATCAGTTAATGTCATGATGTCATTTCAAAGCTCTTTGGCAAGTACAGAACGTCTCCGACTCCCTTCTCTCAGCTCTCCAACTGGAGTCAAGATTGTAAACTTTGAGGAAAACATTGAAGCACCAGTGAGGAGCAAATCAACCAAATAGCAGGAGATGTAATATATTCTTTATTAGATTAGATGTAGGACAGGTACTGTATATTTTCTTTACTGCACAACATGTCCAATTTTGCCTTAAAAACATTCAGACACATGAAAGCTTGCTGAGAAGAGAAATGATGAAATAGATGAAATAAATGAAAAACAATCTCTCTTTCACAGTGTCTATTTTCACTGGTGGGAAGACTGGGAGTTTTAGATTATTATATATACTATTGGCGCCATGGAACAATTTTTTTGATAGTCAGGTGCCCATTTTGTATCTAATGCTACACTAGCACATGAAAGAGGATGCACCTGAACTCAGAAGGCAGTAATGCACAGAAGTGTATAGTAATGAAGTAGATGTACTTCGTTACACTACTTAAGTCGTTTTTTTGAGGATCTGTACTTTACTTGAGTTTTTTTTTTTAATCAAGACTTTTACTTTTACTCTACTACATTTAAAAGTTAAAAAATATACTTTTACTCCGTTACTTTGACGTTTGCCACCTCGTTACTTGTTACAAATTAAAATAGAAATATAATTAATCATCAAATCATATCTGGAATGGGCGTGTCCGAGAGGACAAGAAGAACAACGTACGGTACTCTCACGAAGATAAGAGGTGAGGGCGGGAAGCGCGGGGCAGCGGAGATCAACATGGCTACCTCCTCAGTTAACGTTGATGAGGAAGACACGGAAGATGTTACCACACTGACAGCATCTCCTTTGGTAGAAGACGACAGTCACCTGCCGTGGTCATACCTGGCAACAATGTTTGGCTACCTTGGGATGGGGGAAAATCCTAAAACATACAGAATGAAGTGCCTCTTGTGCCTACCAAAGTGCCACGGGATAAAGGCGTTTAAGAACTCTCCATCCAACCTTAAGAAACACAAGGGGAGAACCATTTTTGGTTGTTTTGCTTCTTTTTATGCATACTATAAAAATACTTTGTACTTTACTTGTACTTGTACTTTTGATTGAGTATATTTTTTCACAAGATACTTTTGATACTGAAGTACATTTAATGTGAGCTACTTTAAGACTTTTACTCAAGTGATTTTCTTATGGGTGACTTTAACTTTAACCAAAGTCATTTTCAGTTATGGTATTTGTACTTTTACTTAGTTCTTTTTTTCAAGTACTTTATACACCTCTGGTAATGCAAATGTGTTGCGCACGCAAACCATAAAACATGAAGAAGAAAAAGAAAACAGGAAGGTGAAAGAAGATCATACCTGTTAGAGAGCTTGATTCAGCATAGTAAGTCAGGCTTGCTGCCAGTGGCCAACCAGGGTACTATAAATAAAACATTATTGAACAATTTACCTATAGACCACCATTATAAAAAGACATCTGTTAAACTGTTGGACACCTCAAACTGAAGTCTTTGTATGTGAATGACATCTTTCACAATGTAAGGACAGACTGCCAGAGAAAACTTTTTGGCATATTTGCTGCATGAGCAGTTTTCATTGGAGAGAATGTTTCCAACTCTCGTAATACATTCATGAACAAGATCCAGAACATCTTACTTTGAAATTTGGAAACATATTGCCTGCTAGGCCTGCTCATCCAATCGCCCACTGTAATGTTAAACAAAACCATTTACCCCAAAAGACTTATATTAAATGTAAGAAGGGTTATATGATAAACTTTAAAGCTATTTCATGTATTGACAGCTGGTTGCAAACCTGTGTGTAACCATTGCCAGTTTCAAAATATATTTTTATAACACTTTGCGATGAAATAAATAGATCCATCGTGTTTGTTCGGTCTCAGGGATAGACACACTGAGAAATACTACATAAAACTGTGTTTGACTACAGGTTGGTAAATTTCATAAGGTTCAACTGAGTCTAAAAAATCTGTACTATTTATAACTATTATTTTAAGTTTTTAGCTTCTTAGTTTATGTTCATCTTAAAGCTACCCTGTTGAGTTTTTAGACACTTGCAATGCAGCAATGTTTTGATGAGCAGGTCTCTATTTAGTTTGTTTCCCATGCGTGTGCGCATGAAGACGCACATGCATGCACGTACTGAGGCAACTGGATACACATTCCTGACACTAGGTTCACTCTGTTCCACTGTTCAATAAGTTACAGAGAAAAGTAGCAATTAGTCAGGGAAGGCAGGGATGAAAGAAAGCAGGATGTAAACAATGGAGGTTTAAAAACATTTGTAAAAATGTATTTGCAAAAACAAGAAATTGCATTGAACTCGTTTGTAAGCCATCAAGGATACACTGGATTTTGGTGAGAAACAGTGTATGTAAATATAGCTATATGTTTACAGGGTAGCTTTGATTTAAAATAATTATAAAGATTGTGCATGAGCATTTCCGTAGGTACTTTATAGCACTCACTAGTTATACTGCATTCCAACTATGGTGATTATAGAAAATGCTACCTGAAATGATCCATAAATGAAACCTAAATTTAAACTCACATCTATTACTGTTGATCAAAGCTAAGAAATGGTTCCTGTTGTCTAATTCAACATCTCCTGCTGCTTTAATGCTCAAGCAGGTACGGCATCGCATGCAACAGCCCAAGGGCAAACAACGATGGGGGTGTGCGTACAAAACTTTGGTGTGGGCCATCTGTGTGCTATTTAGTCCAGTCCCAGAAGTCATGGCTGCTTAATTCAAAAACTGTCAGGGAGTGTCATTAGGTGCAGCCATTTAAAAGCTTCAGATTTCATTAGCCACAGGAAGGGCCACATTACCCTCAGGATTAATGTCACGTTTCGCGGTTCAATGCCACCAGCAGTGGACTGCATTAATGTGACTGGGTTGACCCTCTTGTTTAAATACACCCCAACTCATTAAACATCATGTAGACCGAGAGCAGCCCTTAAATAGCCCATGAATTATGGACTTTTTGTACAAGCAACATTCTTTTTACACCTCAAAAATCTCAAAAATCGCCCACCACTTCCTGCGCAGGCTAAGATTCAATCACAGAGCACCAAATCTTCAGCTGAGGGGAGTTATCTGCCATTCCACAGCCAAATGTTTTGTTTATACTCTTTAAGGCAGCATTGCTCCCAGTGTTGCATCATCATGGCTGTTTCATAACAAGTTGTGCTCTACAGTGTCTTGATGATGTGGGGTGGGCGGTGTGCGTTGTAGAGGTGGCACCATTACAGAACATGCCAGGAACTGTCCTGTCAGGAAGCCTGAGCAACAAGCTCACTATCTAGAGGAAGACTTAGAGAGCTGAGTCACAGCGTAGTGAGACGCCCAGAAAACGATAATTCAGCTGAGGATGAGCCGAGTCATCACTCTTCCTGTTTTAATTAGGCAACATGGGTCCTTCAGCAGCCAATCATCTCATCTGCTTCCTTCCCTCCAATGACCACAGACAGGGAGTTGTAAGACGGTGAAAGCGTCTTGAATTTCAGCAGATCAATTGCATTTTCTTGCAGGAGGTTTCAATATCATGTTTAACCTCCCTTGCTTAATAACAAACATGAAACTGTCAGCACTGGTGAAACAAACAGGACTTAATCGAACAACTTGCAGCGCTCTCTGCACATTTGCTACCTCATGTTGACATCTCTCCAAGGCTGGGAGCGGTGAATGTAATACATTCGCGCTGTTTGTTGGGGGGGTCATGGAGCCTCTGTGTTTCATCACTTACACATTCATCACAATGTCACCCAAGTGCCTGCGTGTCAGGACTCTCAGCATGCATTACCAGGTGTGAGAGAGGTCTGAATTTTTGCGGCTCTTAATCAGGAAATGATCACAACCAGCCATGATTCATGGTGTGGTCTGGTTGTCATACTATATATGTTGAGCTCCAGAAGTAGCATCTTAAGGATGAAATTTATACTCCTACTCCTGAGAGCTATACCTGCACCGTTGGGACCTGTTTCCTCTGCAGAGTGGAGGCCTGTGCTCACTTTCCAGAGTTTTGACAGATCTCAAGAGGCAGAACAATATAAATGTTTGAAGGGCAGTTTGGACTCAATTCCCTTTCATCTTTTTCCTTCACACGAAATCTGCAGACTGTTTTCTGTGTCAGCCAGAGGGGGTTAGACCTTTGTGGAGTAGCAGCAGCATTGCCATACTGCTGACTTGGCAGTGAATCCATTTTTTGCAATTAACACTTTGTTTATGCTCTCACTTTGGTGCCCTATGGGCTCTGAAGTAAGCACATAATCTTTAAAGTGGGAGGGGGCATCACTGTTTAATGCCCTTTATTACTCAAGTGCAGCTCAGTCAATATCTCTGTCAAAGCAGAGGATGGTAGACTGATATGCAGTCAGTGTGTTAGACTAAGGTCTTAATATATTCCAGACTTAATGTCGTACATAGACTGTTACCACTGAAACCAACAGGATATTTAGCTCATTTGTTCTGTCATATTTGATGTAGTTTTTGTTCATAATGAAGAGCAGTCAACACAAGGCAAGTAACGGAAGCTTCTAATCTTACTCTACTGGACCAACGTTGCATCCACATATAAAAAAAAGTGTGGATAATGATCTCTCAAGGGAGGTTTTCAGGCATGTTTCTTTAGTGTTTACCTCAGGAAATTGGAACTCACTGATTTTGGTATTTTCAAAAACAATTTATTGGAGCATGTCTTTGTTAGTAAAATAGCACATGGCTTCAATAACCAGGACGTTGGTCCAGTTAGAGTAAGTATTAGATACTTCCGTTACTTGCCTTGTGTTGACTGCTCTTCTTAGATAAGTTTACTGTTAGCGCACACTTCCCTCAGTTAGCAAGCTGCAACACCCACTGAGGCTGAGGACTGCAGGGAGAGACGGAGGTACTTGGGGGGTAAGATCAGTTTTCCGATGCTTACTGGTTAATCGTTACGCCTGTGCTGCTGGCGAAGTGAACAATCTGTCAGTAAGTGACTGGTAATGCTTTTAATTGTACCATTGTAGTACTTACAGATACGTACATGTAGTTTAAAAAGACAGTAGAAGTAAAAGTTGTCGTAGTTAAAAATAGTATAAATTCTTTAAGTTCTCAGATTTTAACCATCTTATTTCCTATCTTCACATCTTGGTCCCTTGTACCTACATGTATGTATCGGCTTTCCTGTACTGGTATACTGTCTGTACAAAATAATTATATCTGACATTACTTCACTCGGTGTGCCTCCACTATAAAACACTGCGGGAAATCTTGGTCTTATTTTTACCACTTCAGAAGACAAATCCTGTTCAGTATATACGTAAGATATGCACCTCATAGGACCCTACAGTGTTTAGTTTGAAACTCCATTGTATGTGTCTTTCTTTAAGGCAAGTTAATCTTAATCATAACTGCCTTATTATTGGCAGAAAGGTTAAGGTCGAATTAAATGAAACAGCAGGAATAATGTGTTTTGTGTCACGAATGATTGTGTTCTTTTTCTTTGATGTACTTTGAATGTCTGTAACTGCTGATAGACTGGGAAAAGACAATGTTGTGAATGGAAAGGACCTTGACCCACTTTAAACAACAAAGCCGTGCCGTGGGAAATGAGTGAAGGATAATTTAAAATAGAGGTGAGATGAAAGAAAAACACCCAAAAGCGAACAATGCTTGTATTTTCTTAGTTTTTGCCTATTTGAGGGCCTTGCCAACAAGTAGTGTACTGTTCACTACAGTGGAAAAAATCCTAATGATGACTACACTTAAGTGTGAAGAGCTTATTGAGTTTTCCCTAGGAAGCCTCCCCAGTGCATCGTTTGGAGCTGTGCTGTAGGCAGTGACTGCAGAGACTCCAATTACTGACCAAGTCCCACTTGGCTGGCTTCTAACTGTGACCAGCAAATTAGAAAGAGAGAGAGAGGAGAGAGAGAGAGAGAGAAAGAGAAAGGGATTGAAAAAGCATTTAAAAGGCAAGACGAAAGTTTTGGTTGCAGTGCGATACTAGCCTACAGGAAGCCAAAAAAGACAAACGTCAAGCAGAGTTTAACAAGTGCATTGCCTGAGCGGAGGGAGAGATAGGCAGCTCTTTGTTCATGAGTTGGACACGCTCCAAACGCCTGCTTCATAGGATGTTCTTCGATAATCCAGCAGTGAGCAGCTGATTTATGACCTGCATTAATGTTCTGACTGAACTTCCTGAACAGAATCTTAAACTATAACCAAACCACATGGAGCGGAGGAAAAATAACATCTAACAAAAATAGATGTAATTTTCTCTTCCCACATGAATGGGAATTGTGTGAGTAACACCTGTGGCTTTAATTTATAATTAATATGTATATATATATATATGTGTGTGTTTTTGGTTTTGTATTGGAATTGTAATTACCAAGAAGAAGAATTTAAATGACTAACCAACCCTTAGTCATAACAGCAGGAAGTCAGTGTGAGGTTTCACTCATAGACTACGTGCAGATAAGTGCATGGTGTGGTTCTGGGCCAAAAGTGAGGAACTGGTGTGATAATACTTCCCATCTTTGAAACCCTTCATACGTTTGCAACATGTAGGAGTCTCAGCGTTGCAGTAAGGCATTAAACTACAGTTCTGATGAAAAATGGGGCGAAAAAATGATTCAACGCCTGCAAACAAAACCAATTATCTCGAGGTTCACGGGCCAAGAGCAGCTGCCTGTTGTAAAAGAAAACAGAGGTCCGTCATCTTTTTTCTGTGTCTCTGAGCACTTTCAAGGGATCCCAGGCACTTTCAGCCCATAACTTATTTCTGTTCCTCTACTGTTTTGACGTGATATCGTGTTTCCCAAGACAGGAGCTTGTACACTCGGGAGGGGAGATGGATAAGAGTGGATGTGCCACGTTTTGACATTGAAGTAAGATTACTCTGTTCCCTCCAAGCAGACACACATTAAACAAGTGGGAGATCAGGGAAGCAGAACGGCAGATGAGAAGTAGCTGTGCGTGTGTGCACTTCCACATGGGGCTTAAGAGGCAGCAAGGACAGCTGGTTCACTCATCACTACTTTGCTGTGTCCTGGGCCTTTCAAAATCCCCAGGGACAGATTGTTTCTACTGGAGAACTGTACAGTGACTATGGGCAATACAATTTTCTAATGTACCTCAATGTGTTTTCTGATGGTGTAATTAAGAACAGAGCATTAGCCTGAAAAATAAAATGAAACACAACACAAGTCATTCATTATAAAGTAATAAAAACATACCTGTGAACATTATAATACATTCCTGCTAATAGATCCTCTTAAATGTCACCCACTGGACGTTTAAATATGTTCACGCTAAAAGATTGATGCTAAAGCAGCGAGACACAGGCAGAAAGTCACTGTATTTGTCAGTTAATGATGTGGAAAACGTGGAAATACAGTATTGTTCTTGTATTTTAGTGTACAGCTAGTTGTAATAAAAGTAGTGTGTTGTCACTTTTAACATGAAAATAGAAAAGGCTTTTAAGATGAAGACTACTCGTTGTTGGGTAGTTAACCTTGGCTGTAAACTTCCCCAAATCAAATAGAAAGCAGGACTGTTAATTTCAATCTTATAATTCAAAAATAGTATTTTTTATTGTCTGCAACTTGCTGTAAATAGTCAGATACAGTAACAAGCACATGTGGACCGAGCTGTACCTTTTACAGGCTTATTGAAATAATAAACACCATAATTGGTATTCCTGGTCCTGTGAATATACATTTGGCAAAATTCCCCAAATGTTTCATCAAAATTTCAGCCTTAACGTCTGTCATTGGCATTTGCGTCTGATTACCCAGCAGGTAAAGTTTCATGTAAGCAAAGCTATCTATCTAACAGTGAATCTGAGCTGTTCTTTGGAGGGATGACATACTTGTGCTCATTCCAAACTTTGCACAATACAAGAGCTGCAGTTTTTCACTCCCACGTGATTTGGTGACACTTTGATGAATCTTTTGTCATCTCACCGTATATGTTTCACTCTCCTTAAAAGGTTTAAACTAGTGTTTACCTTTTCTGTTGCAGGGAGGTCTACAATTCCCATGTTTTTTGTGGAAATGATAAGTTAGGAAGAGTATCTTTGCTTTTATGAGGTTGAAGGAGTAAAGTAAATAGAGATATTTTCCTCAATGTCTGCAACTTAGAAATTAAATTCTTGCTGCGAGCCATGTGTGCATTGAGAATATACTGTAGGCATTTTAAAAGAATCTCTCCAAGGTTTGTAACATATTGAATCCCTGATTTGAGGAGACACTGCAGGTAAAGCAGAAAAGTTTGACTGTCTGTTGTCAGTGCACCTCTCCTAGAGATGAAAACATCCTATTGGCTTCTCACGCATGGCTAACTCAGACCCATCACAACAAATCTGTCTCTCTGGGCCTTTGTGTGTGTGTGTGTGTGTGTGTGTGTGTGTGTGTGTGTGTGAGAGAGAGAGAGAGAGAGAGAGAGAGAGAGAGAGAGAGAGAGAGAGAGAGATGGTGTGGCAGGCAAGGGAGTGATGGACTAGAAGTGACATACGACCCCTGAAGCAGCCAAGGATTAATGGCCTCAATAGGCGAGCTCCTCAAGAAGGATGTGGACGGGTAATAAGGACTTCCACCAGCCACAGTGCATCCATCCATCTGCCCTTCCGGATCCACGCTCTCCTGCAGCTGGAGCTTCCAGATGTGGAGCCACCTGTGGAAAAAGGGACACTGTTTTCCTGCCACAGAGGCAGAGATTCCTCAGTAAAATAACTCTTGACTTGATACTCTTCTGATGTTTTGTGTACAGGGGAACAACATTTTTGAGTCAAGGGCACCTTTGGTGGTCTGAGTTTGAGAGGGTTTTCAGGTGAGGACAGCGTCACCGGTGGTGTGACAGTTTACACTGTGGCTGGGGAGGCGAGAGATATAAGACACTGCAGGGACTCCAGTCAAGGTCCATAGGAAAATGAAACATGGAAAATGTCACTGGGGTATTCTGACATTTTGCACTTTGAGCGAGTCTGAAAAGGTTCAAACACCAACTGAGAAGTGAAAGCGGCAGCTATGAATATGAGTCACCTGCATGAGAAGACATGTTACACTCCTTTTACCCTTTCAGAGGTGTTAATATATAAATGGAAACTAGAAATATTTTAATCTATTTTAACTGGTGGAATAAAATGTTTAAAAAAGTGGGTGATAGGGCACTGAGTGAAATTTAAAAAAAATAGAGTTGTTTATAATTATGACTGCTATGTGATTTGTTTGATTTTTACCAAAAGTGAAGTGAGGAACTTTTCGAAACTCCCTCATTTCTCAATGTGAGTCATTGTGCTTGCGTTGCGTGTACAGTATCTGCTCAATAATCAGAGAACTTCTGAGTAATACTTACAACTCTTTGTGTTATCTAAAGGCATGTTTTAGTCAGTTTAGCCAAAATACAAAAACATCAAATGTTCCTACTTACTCATATTGGTGTGTACTCATACAGGCTGATAGCTTTCACTTCTGAGACCTCTGCCATCAACCTAATGCAGTGGAGGTAAATGGAGTTCAATTTGCTCAAAGCTTAGAAAAAGGACATTTGAAAAAAAGGAATGAAAAGCATTCTGGACCTCAAGAATAGTAGTCTGTCAAAACAATTTCAACTTAAAGTACACTTACTGTCTTTTTCTGGGTTTCTATCCTCCTCGTTGGCTTAAGGAACTTAACTGTTATGACATCGTATCAGCGACTGAGCTCAAATGTCAACAGAGTAATCTCCATGACAACTTAGCAAATTCCATCCGCAGGTGAAGACCATGTGATACAATCGAAAAAAGTCTGTAAAGGGGCGAGTAAGTAGACCTTGAGTTGGATCCAGAGAATGTTGTCCTCACCATGAACTGTTTTTATTTCCTGTTTATTTGGTAGAAAATAATTCCATTGAAAATCCTTTTGTGATCTGGGTTAAACTGACCAGTTAATGTACTACTAACAGGTTTATTGAAGCAATAATTCTGGGTTATTACAAATTGGGTCTTATATTTGTAGTTTTGACAGTTATTCAGTAGTTGGTAGAGATAACAGTTTAATATATTTGCTGGGATGTGGGAATGCAGCACAAATAGACTATGGACATCCATCACAGTTTACAGACTGAGCTCCTGGTTCAACTCTGACCTAGTATACTTGCCTCCTTTGTAATGACAGTTCAGGTGTGCTCCCTTTACCTCCACAGTATTTTAGATAATATGGATAAATTGTGACATTCTTTGCAACCTGTATGATGACCCAAATCTGAGGAATTACTTTGGTGAGTATGATGTTATCATAGACAACAGAAATAATGTCTAGAATTACAATATTATGGACATTGCCATTTCACTTTTCTTTCTCACAATGCTTTGAGTTTGCCTGTTGCCTCTGTGGCCTCAGACAGAAATCACAGATGAAAGTGCTGCCATAGGACATCAAGAGGGCCAGGAGGCAAAACACCTGCTGTCACCATCTCCCACTCTCAAAACCAGCATGAATACACAAGGTCAAATAGCGGCACTTCACATCCCAATCTATTAGATTTTCAGATGCTCTGCTTTTCACCGAGATCCAATCACTTCCTGCCAACCAGATTAATGCTGGAGGGGGTGGCGAGAGGAAGGCTAGCAGGCTGATATTAAAAAGGACCCATGCTGCTGACAAGTCTTTGAACAGGAGTGAGCGACACATTCAGGAGAGATTGTTTCTGCTCTGAAGAAAATCTGACAGAGAAATTGTCCTTGTGACTGCAGGTAAAGTCTGTGTTGCCTCTCTTTGTTGTTTGATATGTGCATTATCTGGGGTCCTTTAACATTCTGTGGTCCTACACTCAATGTCAAAGTTACATTAGGGAAAGTTGCAATATTTCCTTCAGTATTACAGTCAGTAACTACTGAAGTTTAACCCTGAATATAACTGCACCTAGAAAATGAACTAGCCTTAGTCTGCAGTTTAAATAAAGGCTTTGACTAATCACAAAATATTTGTAATTTGTATTTTTATTTTGAATAAAATTAGGCATAAATGCTACAAGCATCTTTTGCATTAGCACAAGAGGGGTGAGATTAAGAGAGAGCTGGTTTGTCTTTAGTTTTTTTTTTAATGAATGATATGATACCTGAAAATAGGTGAATCAGAATTTGGTTTTGTAGTTTAACATTAATAGTCTAGTGTGTAACATTTAGGAGGATCTATTCCCAGAAATGCAATATAATATTTATAGGCATGTTTGCATTAGTGTATAATCACCTGAAAATGAAAACACATTTTTTGCAGGTTTTGGAGCCACCGTAGGTTTTTCTTCACGACTGGAAGACTGAGCTGTATTCAGATTGTTGCAATCTGTAACTTCACCACTAGATGCCACTGAATCCTACACAATGGTCCTTTAAGCACAGTCTATCCAGATTAATTCTGAATGTTGTATTTAGTGAACTCGTGCCACATTTTATTTCTTGGTGTGAAAGGTGCTACAGAAGTGTAACTGCTTAATATATTGAACAGGACAAAGTTTCTCTCAAAACACCTTCTTTTGGGCTTTGGAAATGTAATTGCGTTCATTTACTTTTGACTACTTGGGAGGAGGAGGAACAAACATTTTTACCTTATAAAGTTAATATGGCAAACTTAATAGCAGTTGCCTATTTAACCACCCAGCAAATATAGAGCAAATTTATCATTCATTTATGACTGTGTTTTTGGCTACCTGATGAATGTAAGCCCAATATTAAGTTTCATTTTAGATCTCTTTTGATTATGTTTGGTGCTGGCAGGTAGTGTACACAGGGTTTTTATGAGTTTGTAATTAAAAACAGCTGCCCACTGGCTGAAAATGCTGCTGATGAGAGCTAATAATAATCCAAAACAGTAAATTTGTGGATCATAAAATCAAAACAGTGAGCTGACAGCCAGGTGATAATACTCTGTGGGTTCATCACTAAAATCTTATTAATCATTTGATCCACTGTTCATAACATTTGATAAGTGCAGCTGTGAAAGTGAAGCCAGTCATTGACTTTGTTTTGAGGAATCACGTGCAGTTAGCTGGTAACATTGTAAATTCAACACATATATTAAATATCCTCATATATAAAAATGCTTTTTATTATGTGCATTAAACTTTCCAGCCTTTGCCTGTTTTGGGCAACTTGAGCCTGAACTGTAGCTCCATTATCAAATGTCAGCTTTGTGCTGGTATAAAGAGGCTTATTTTGTTTTAAATCAGTATTAGTACATTATGTTCCCTTTGTAATCTTTTTCTAATCTAAAGTATTTCAGCATTTACAATTGGTCTTAATCCTGGGACCAATTGATCCCTCTTAATTAGTTAATTGTCTAATTGTTTAAATCCAGACACCGAATAAGGAGACTTGTCTTCCTATTCCAGCTCTTGGAGAGCTCACGTGGGGTCTGGCTCACTGGTCATCTGCCCCGTCGTCCTAAACCCAAAACAACGCCCACCTATCAGACCCGCCTGGGCCACTTAAACAACCTCAAGCAAACGGACTCATTGTAAAATGGAAGCGTATGTTTGGCTAATGGGGCTCAGCTGTCCAGTCAGTTTCACTCATGTATATCTCCTAATCTGGTGGTGGCTCTGCGAGGATAAGGGGGGGATTTCAGAGGCGATACAAACACACAGATAGCAGCAAAGAGCACGGTGGAGGCCTGGCCCAGGATGTCAGTGTTCAGGGTGGGTGACAGTGTTATTCCCTGCCATCTGTTTCCCAGGCGGCGGTCCAGCAGTGCTATGTTGAATGCACAGGCATGAGGGAGTAAGGAGCAGCCCACCATGCCTCTCTATTGGCATTGCAGTATTTCATATTAACATAGCAGAGTGGCCGGCCTCCCATGCCTGTTTGTAGGGGCGAATGGGTTCGGTTCAGGCTACACACAGATATGTAAAAAAAAGAGCTCTCTTACACTCAGACTGCCCATCTGTCTATTGTCTGTCTGTTTTTCATGTCGGTGGCACTCTCTCAACTCAAAGAAAAAGGACTGGCACAATCACAATTTTCACCACATTGCTTTGCTATAAAGTTACAAAATGCAGACAGAGTGCAGAAAAGAGAGGTTATTGAATAAGTGCAAGTACAATTGTTTGTTTTCTCTCTGCGTTTTGTCTTGAAAAAACTGTCGGCCCGTGTGAATTTCCCAAGAAAAAAAGCCACTTTAACTCTCCTTTATGAAGACGAGAGGGACGGTAAGCGCCAGTGTTTGGTGACACGACAAATGCCGTAAATGGCATATCGTTTTCTGTGTGGGTATGTTACCCAAACAACAAAGGAATGTTATGAGAGCAGTGGGGTCTCATCGCTCAACCTTTTATGAGAAGAACTCACAAAGGCCTGAATCACTCTTCCTCTCTGTCTCTGCTGTCACCCTCAGGAAAAGTGAGCACGCCGTAAATCACCTTGGCAGCTCTGTGTTTTGAAGCAGCAGACTGCCTGTAGCCAGTGTCATTTTATAGGTTGTTATTTCACTCCATGTTGTAGACAGAAGGGCTCTAAAATCATGTTGCTTTAAATGCTGATGTGTTTGCTTACCGAGTGGTGAATCAAACTAGAGATGAATGGAGGGACATCCACAGAAAGACAGCCCAAAGTTCGTGGGGGAACCTCAGTCCAACCTTTGTCCAGAATCTGAATCTCAAAGAATTCAGCTAATTCTTTTAGTATGGAAAGTGGAGGCTTTATTGCATTCTTTTGAGGACGTGAACCTGAACGTATAAGTGTTAACTTGCACTTACATGTGCGCTTTACATACAATGAATTACTTTATGTGAGGGCTCATGGGGGAGGTTTAGAGAGAAAACCACGGAGGGTTTTTGGTTTGGACCATTCCTGCAGAGATCTGGGCCATGTTCTGGATGTCAAAGTTCAATGATAAAGAAACTGAAAGTAATTACCTCACTTTGAGTAAAACAGGATTTTCAGCTCCAGAGACTTTGTTTCTATTTCTTTCACATGTGCATGTTAAGCTTTTCTGTTTGATTTTATCCCAAAACATTTAGACACCAAGGTGACGTGTCATAACTGTGTTCATGCTTGCATGCACAAGTCTGCACCAATCCCAAAACAGGCTGTTCATAAGCTCCAGAGAGAGAGAGCGGGATTATTTCTCCCTGATGCCCTTTGTTTGAAGAAAAAGGTGTTGACTGACAGCTGAGCTCCTGGACCCTACTCAGCCAGGGTTCAATGCGGATGCCTGGCTAATGAGGTTGACTATGGGGATTATAATCAGACAGGGAATATTAGCATTCTCGTGTGTCAGTCAAGCCGGGAAAACCTCCCAGTGTTGCAGTGTCAAAGTGGGCTTTTCAGCTTCCGATCGGTTCATATTTACCATACAACAACACAGAGCCATGTCACAGCGTCCCCAGGGCGGCTTTTTAAGACATGGCAGTTAATGGGAGAAGGAGTTATGGTGGGAAATCTCACCATGGGTCCAATTCGAAGGCCCCAGTGGACACAGAGGGCACTCCAAAACAGACAAATTATCTCCTGTCGGCTTTTTGGCAGTAAAATGTGCTTGTTTTAACCTTGCAGTATTTAACCTCTCAATAATCATTCAGCGAAAGGTAGACTTCAAGCTGGGACTGAATCCCCGCTTTGCACAGAAAAGTATTAATGGGCATCACGTTTGACCCTCTCCAACCTCGGCGACACTAACCTCTCCCTCCATGCTCAGGCCATCTGAAAGAGCAAAACAGAGAAAGAGATGAGAGATGGAAAGAAAAACATTTAAAAAAAAGAACCGACTCACAAGAGCGATGTGACATATGGAAGCCATCACAGGCCTGGACTCCCATCTGTGTCTGCAGTCGTGGCCTGCTGGCACCCACTAGTCACAGCGCAGGATGGGAATAATCCAGGACAGAGGAATTGTGATAAGAGGAGTCTGAATCCCTTTAGGACAAGATTTCAGCTTTGGGGGAGGGGTGAGATGGGCTGCAAGTGGAGGGTGTTATTGTGAGGTGCAAAAGCTCACTGGCGTTTGCAGAAAACAGGTGCCCGACAGCTCAGTGGGGTTCAGATGGGTTTAGTCGGGCTCAGTTTCTCACGTTTCTGCCTGCAACAAATTCCCTAAACACGGCTGAAACTGCAACGCTACCACTTCCTTGTTCCACATCAGCTTGTAAAAAACTGTAAATGAAAGCGACACATTCCTTCGCCATGGAATTTAAACAGTTTGTAGTCTGGAGCAAATGTGCGTTTCCTGCTCTGCAGTCGCCGAGATACATTTGATTTTTTTCTGTTTGATTTCTGTTTGGATTGCAGTGGCAGTTTTTTGGCTAACTGGAATAAAACTAAATGAAAGGCATAATTGGAAAAGGAAATGGGCTTCTCATCTTAATTTACATGTTTGCATTGTCGAATTCGCCTAAAGGAACGAATTTAAAGTGTGTTATTGTAAGCCCCAGAGTTGAACGGAGAGGTAATTTAGGAGCCTCCTGACCACATCCATTGAAGCTGCGTATCCTGGTTCACTGCAGATCTAATCAGCAAGTTGAATGATATTTGCTCCCTCCAGTCATGTTCTATTTTGTTCACACTCTAAAAATGGCATCATATGCAAACAATAGAAGCTCTTTAATCAATCAAGTTAAGATAAACAATTTAGGTAGCTGATATTTAATTAGGCATCAACAAATGTTGTTTTTGAGGTAATGAGGTAATTGGTTTTGAGGTTTTATAAATCCTGCTGACCCGAACGTCTTCTCCTTTGCTAGACCTTACTCACTAGCACAGTGCAAGTTTTTTGTCAGTGAAAAATTTATTGTAAAACAGTAAATTTTTTATCAGCCCTTTTCACAGGACCCCTGATGGTAGGCAGAGGCTGTATCAATCTGAGAGTGAATGCCCCTCAGCATTTTCAGGGGCATGCATCTCATGCACATGCAACCCACTCACACACTGAATTTACAACTTCACAACATTCAAGGAGCTACAAACACCAGCATCTTGTTATCTTTTAGTAAAACAAATGAGGCCTATACTTTGAATTTCAAGAAACAGAATAAATGCAACATCTAATCTTGTGTGAAGGCGGTCAGGTCTCTCAGGTCCTCCACCCTGTGCAGCTCAGCGCTGCCCCGAGGCCACAGAGGGCAGGACCCTTCAGATTTAACACCTCACACACACGAACACATGGGATTTATTAGTGATCAAGCCCATGTGGCTGCACAAAGACACAAAGTCTTAGCCTTTGTCTTGAACAGAGTAAAAAGTTGTAACTCTGTTTCTTTTTTTTCTGCTTTACCTGCATTTCATCTGCCTCCTTGCTGCTCGTCCATCTTCAGTGTTCTTGTGGGGAACAGGGGGAGTCTTTTCAAGCTTGACTAATGTGGTTCAGATAGCGTGCAGGATGACGATGGGGGAGCACCTCAATCTGGGCCATACCTTGTTTGTTGTGGCGGCTTTACCTCAGCCGATGCTACTCTCCTTTTTTCACTCCTCATCGCTGCTCCGCTTCAGCGATTCAGTCAAATGAAAGAACAGCTGCCTGACCTCTTTTCAGCCTGGTTGCTGTGGTCTGGATCCTCAGGACAGAGCGTCATGTCGAGGCCATCTCCAACAGGATGTAGGCCTCGTCATGGCTGCGGTCAACAAGACTCGCCTCATCTCCTGGCCGCTTGCTGCAATCAAGCGCCTCTCTTATCATTAGGAAGTATTTCTGCAGGAGATATTTTTTTGTTTGTTTGCTGTTTTTAAACATGTTCATTTCCTCCAGTGCAAACAATAAGACAACATCCTCGGATGGGGAGGGGAGCGTGCCAGTGCTGTGTGCAGCTGGAGGTGACACAGCATGCTGTGGTACAGTAATGGAGTCATCCATCAACAGGCCCCATTAAAACACCTTGACAAGCCAGCTGAGGCCACTCCAGTGACCATGGTGACCAGTCTAAAGGTTGATGTTTCTTCTCAAACAGTGGCTGCAGAAATAGCGCAAAGATAACAACACTGACATGGATCTATTCATTTGTTTGCAGTGTTTATTAGTGTTTATTTGAATTTGTTCACTGAGTAAGCTGCTCATGTACAGTAGCTGCAGTATAAGTAAGTGAACTCACAAAGTGTAAAGTAAATTATCATGTGATTGGAGAACTTGCAGATTATTTTATTTTATATGTTGACATACACAGAAATGACTTTTTTGCAAATATTACCCTAATGATTCACTGATATATTGAAAATATTGATCAGCCTTTCTGTCTCTTTTTTCTCCATATTTGCATCACACATTTTCAGTTTGCAGAACAATGTTTGTTACACTAAGGACAATAAATGGGATGGCTACATAAGTGTTCTGGTACAATTAATCTGATATGCATGTGTAGCCACGTTTCTCTTTATCTTTCCAAACACAACTAATATGACAGTTTTTTGATCTGATAAGGTCTGGTTGAGTTCTAGCAACTAAAACTATTAGTTAGCAACAGATCATGGTTAAGGTTAACATTGTCATAATGGTTAGAAGAGACCAATGTTGACTGTTCATAAAAAATACGTTCCAGTATGTAGCATTTAATGGCATCTAGTTTTGAAGTTGTAGATTGCATCTAACTGAACACCACTCATGTCTGTATTGGAAGACCTGGGAATCAGAACGGGCTCTGGAGTGTGTAAGAGAGTGTGGCTGTGAAAGGCCCTATCTAGAGCCAGTGTTTGGTTTCTCTGTTCTGGGTTACTGTACAAATGTCTCATTATACACTAATGAAAACACACCTATGAATATTATATTCCATTTTTGCCAATAGATTCTCCTAAATGTTATACACTGGACCTTTAAGAATTTACGTTCATAACTAATTACGTTAATTATGAACAAATAAGTTACCCTGACTTGCTTATCAAGCCCTTCTGGCCAAATGTCAGTCCAGTATACACCTTTTAGCTCTGCTCTGGTCTACTCCTGACAAATGTCTTGGTCTTTAAGTTTGCTTAATGTTTAGCTTTATACAGCAGCTACTGGGTAGGTTGTGTACAGTACAACAATCACTTTGTATTAACTTGGGTGTTGGGAGCAGTGGTTTTATATGAACTAACATTAAACAGTGCAGTCTACTCAAAAGTCTGTATGTTTTGCCAGTTTAGACAAATGTCTTTTGTTAAAGAATCGTCCGTACCGTTGAACCTTGCATCTGATAAAAACAGACATGTGTTTATACTTTATTTACAACCCAGAAGGTTAACAATCGTGTGTCTTGGGAAGAAAAATAAAATCACAAATCAAATGATTATATTTGAAGAACTTGCATGTGTTGTTGGCCAAAATGGCTTTTTTTCCTCTCGTTGATGTGTTCAAGAGCTCCGTTGTTTGTTCCCTGCACTTTAAGTCCTCTGAAAATTCACTCAAGCTGAGATAGAGCAATTATGTGCAATTTCAGCTCTTAAGCCCATCTCCAGCAATCACCATGGAGATATTTAAAATGTGGTTAGAGTCAAACAGCAGACACAGAAAGTGGTAATATGTTCCCCTTTCTGCTGACTGCTCTTTGTTCTCTTGAAGTTTAAGCAATTTATAAACAAATACATGCTTTCTCAAATCCTTTCACTGATTTAGATGAATTTTCCCCCACATGGACTAATGAGAAACAGTCACAACCGGATGGCTTTAAATTATTGTATTGTCTGTTTGGGACAAACATTGAATCCCTAAATCCCTGTAGAGGTGTGTTATTCCTGTGGTTTTCAGTTCTTATTTGTATTAGGGCCCAGCTGAAAAAGTCCCAGTGAGCCCCCCATGTGTAAACTATCTTTGACCAGTGATCAGGATCCTATTCAGAGGACCGTATCTCCTCCATCTGCGGCATGTCGACAGGCATCCTCCTGCATTCCAGTCCTTTTGTTTGCAGAGGTAGGGGAAGGACATTAATGAGTCTTCCATTGAATTAACATCCTTGGAAAGTCCGCCTTGGGCTCACACCTGCTGCCTTTAAGCCGTTGGAATCTCTACTCCATCACTGTTGAGGATGTGCTCCCTGGAAAATATGCAGGTTGCCAAAGGCCCTCAAGGTAGCGCAGCATGCGTCGAGGAAACGGTGAAGAATGTCAACCTGGACATCGCCTCCACGTCCACCAGGACGGCCAAGAATGCAGCCATTGTTTCAATGAAAACAGGCTCTTCATCATTGATATTGAGCACCTGTAGACTTAATATATACTTTTGAACTCCATTGTGTTGTTGTTGTCTTTGTTTTGACTGGGCTGTGGAGCCAAAGGTGAAGAGGGTGATGACAGAGGTGTGACTGATTGTCGTTGTTTATTAACACGATGAAATATGATGTTTTGGTGAAGTTTGCCAACACAAACATTTAATCTACAACTTTGACAAGCAGACAAGAGTCTGAGATAGGCAGAATGGCTCAAAAACAAATGCACATAGTTTTGTTTATTATACTTTGAGAAATTCCCTTTGAGTCTGTGGCAGCTGTCAGAGATACAACCACAACAAAAAGCATTTATGTTAAGGGTCCAGTGTAAAACATTTAGGAGGATCTATTAGCAAAATGGAACATAATATTCATAAGTATGTTTTCATATGTGTATAAACACCTGACTATAAGAATCATTGTGTTTTCGTAACCTTAGAATGAGCTGTTTATATCCACAGAGGGAGCAGGTCCTCTTCAACAGAGGCCGCCATGTTGAACCACCATGTTTCTACAGTAGCCTAGAAACAAACCAAACACTAGATTCCACTAAATCCTACGCACTGGTCCTTTAAAGACAGACATTTAACAGCACTGTGCTCCAGAACAACTTCACCAATGACATAACAGCAAGTAGCCCCCCATGAAACCACAACTTGTTTTACACTTTTTGTACAGATTACACAAATAAGTTATAATTTGTGAGCTATAGAGATGTTGGTAGATTGATTTTGTTACTCTTGTTCCAGTTCCAGTCTTTATGCTAAGCTGAGCTAACCAGCTGCTGGCTGTAGCTCCATAGACATCAGAGTTGTATTGATCTTTCATCTGACTTTTGGCAAGAAAGTGCATTTCAAATCTGCAAATCCAGGCAGCAGAGGCAGCAGAGGTATTCTGATATTCTCATGTTGACATTTTTACATTACAATGTTTTGGTTCACAAAATCTAAATTTCCATTACTTTTTGGAGCCATTACTTTCTCAAATAGAGCTGTATGGCTCTCTGCTTTGGCCCTGTCAACATGCGTTTGAGTATCTGTGACGATGAAAGCCAGATGATACGCAAATGTATTTGACTTTGATGGCACCTCTCCCGAGTTGGCCTCACAACTAGTATTTTATCTTAGCCATAAAAGCTCCTACTGAACATCTGATGATCACTGTTACTAATTGGCTTTGTCACAGTGGAACTACTGTAGCTTAGACAAAAAAGTCAAACATTAAAGAGACTATGAAAGTAATGTGAAGCATCAAATTTAGAGCTATCAGCACCTAAATCTGTCAAAAGAGTTACTTAATATGACAAATGTACAGGACTCGCTACCTGGTTAACTGCGGGTCCCCACATCAAGTTATAAAACACGGCAATAGGGTTTAAATGGCTGTAATAGCTCCACAGACACCTATGTTCTCTGTGTATCTGGAACCAGTTTATGTTACGAGTCCTAATAGACACATAAGCCTCTCTTTGACAGCTTTGCAAAGCTCAGGACAAGGCTATTGCCTGAAAACAGTGCCCTTGGATAGAAAAACGGAAATATATCTTTGTATCGCAAACATAAGACTGACAAGGTCGTGAGTTATTCAAAATAAAATGGTATCGCTTTCTATGAGAACACGTCTTTCCTTCTCTTTGAACTGCACTGTCTGTAACATGGCAAACATGCACTCCCCTGGCAAAACGCATGTTACGCACTGCAGGCTGTCGCCAAAATTGCTGAAAGGTTAGACATACAATCAGGAAATTCTCCATGATGGGTTGCAGCAGCTCAGCAGGACTTCAGATTCCCTGCTGTTACAGTGTGTCATGCCTTTCCCTTTCCTCTATGACCCCCTAACCCAGTAGGTCCCACACTGCTGCGCTGCAGTGATGGCCTGGAGGATCTCAGAGGGGCCTCTGCTAGATTTATGAGCACCATGCTTTTGTTTAGCCAAGGCGTCCTGCTTATTTTTGTTTCACTGTTAGAGACTTCAGGTTGAGATAATGAATCAACAGACAGGACTGGGGTTATGGATCCACAGAGAGCTGCTCCTCTCTGGTCACCTGGTTTGAGCATTTTGTTCAGTAACAGTTGTTGATGTAATTTAGTTTTAATTTAGAAAGAATGGCTGTGCAGATAATGTAACCATAAACAATCTACACGATTTAGTACTTTGGAGGTATTTAGGTAAATGGAGAATATCTGTCTGGATCCGACAGCGCCTCTTGATTTATTCATGTTCATACATTCACTTTAGAAATGACTACTTGTGCATTTGGAGTAATATTTGTAACCACTGCAGACTATATGGAATCATAAGGTTTTAGCCATGCTAACGTCATACCTTTAGGGATAGCAATGTTAGTCTGTCTGTCTACCACTTTAGTCTACACTGAAAAAAAACTGACGACTGTTGCATGAACATTTGTATATTGTACATTGTACATTGTACATGGTCCCCAGAGGATGAATCCTAATGACCTGACAAATTCTAGATGGATTGCTGTGAAGCTTGGTTCAAATATTCACACCCACCCTCCTCCTGAACTAAGATGGTAAACATGGTAAAAATTATAACTGCAAAAATCAGTATTTTAGTTGGGTTCAACATTAATGTTTCTTTTCACTTAGGTAGGTAGGTCACAAATCTATTGCCCTAGGTCAAGTTTACCCAATATAAATAGTTTTATTTATTAAAATAATAGGATATATAGATTATGTTGACTATTGTTGTGGCATTTTAGCGACCTTTTTTCAGAAACTTGACACGACTTTGAAAAATTATCCCAATACATAGTTGGACCTTCGCCCACATCCTCTAAGACCACCCAACGGAACTCCTGTAACCGGGGTAACTTAAATGCTTGCTTGCACTTCAGCTCATAAAATTTTAGCCTCAAATGTGCCCGATTGGTATTGCACATGTACAACTCTCAACAGAGATGAGAGGGAAGCAAGATAGCTCACTCCTTAGCTAATTCCATCATCAGCGCCAGAAAAAAACACTTGCCTGATCTATCAAGCAAGTTTTTCCAATTACTTCCCTGACGTGGCAGTTTATTTTCCCCGGGCACACGGGCAGTCCTTATTGTTTAGCCCTGATAGTAGCATTGTTATTTTAAACACATTAGCATGCTGATGTTTGCCTTCTTCTCACAGCACCGTTGTGCAAAGTGTTCAGCCTCACAGAGCTGCTAGCATGTCTGTAGACCTTTGGTCTTGTTTTTATGGTTAAAAGCAAAATGTCAAATTTGAGAGGCGACTTGAGACGAAAGTTTCTTTTTTGAATTACATTACATTTTGCTCTTCTCACCGGGCATTGCATATCTACTTACGACACATGGCACGCATGGACACTGATGACAGGTTCAGTCAGAGATGGGATACATTTCTTAGATTTATATTCAGAGATTTTATTTTTAGGACATATTGCCCAGCCCTAGCTTCAACCTGACTGGAGCCTGAAGCTTTAGGCAACATAATGGCCTGATTCAGGTAACAGAACCGTATCATATCACTCATTAAATATGTAACACTTAAGTCCTTCGTGTACAAAGTTGCATATTGCCAAACTGAGTGTTAATACACTCACATGCGTTATATACTGTAGGGGATTTACTCAATTGTGCTGCTTATGTGCACCATGCAAAGTCAGTTATGTTTAATCAAAAGCACATTGAAAATGCAGCACAGTCTGTACAACAAAAGCTCAACACACCACTATATCTGCCTTTCTTTCACCTCAACCTCTGAAATCCTGTTACTGCAGCATCAATGAAATGTATCATGACCACAATGCTTTCCCTGTTCTTTCTTTGTCAATGAGATATTTAATGATATGCTTGGTTTGTCACACTGTCAGGGGTTGTCTGCTTCTAAAGGCTAGAATAACATTTGTTCACAGTGATAGAGCCTGGAAATGGGGGTTGGTTTAATCACTTTAGATTGTAGATATGGGTACAGTGAAAGGTATAGCTCAGTAATACAGCTAAAATGTGCTATAAATAGCATTTGTCATCAGAGCTGGGAGAAGAAGGTGTTTGAACTAACAGGCTGACTGGATGATATGTCGACTGAGGTCAGCGTGTGCGTGCCGACTGCAGCAGCTCCATTTTTCCATTGGTCACTGCTGACACCCATAAATGTCCTGTGCATGACAGGGTTGCAGCAGCAGGGTCTCATCGCCCGGAGGTTTGTTTTTATTCTCCTTCCAAGAGAGGCTTTAAAGTCAGTGCCTCAAGCTGAATTTCACATAAATTGTATTGTTCTCTCAAACTGAAGTGTCAAGTTTAGCCAACTAAAAGTGTTCTTTTGTAGTTTGTAGTATTGTAGTTTTTAATAGTGCACAATATATGCCATTCAGAATCTGATTTTTTGGATGGTGGAATGATTTATGGCATTCACATTCATATTAAACATGCAACACATGAATATTGTGTTCTTTTATGTCTCCATTTTATTCCTAAATAAATAACAGAGCGAATTTATTTCCCTATAAAACAATGACTCATCACTAATAATACAATTTCTGAGGTGTTGTGGCTTCCCCACTAAGTTTGTCTCCAAGTTTTCTCATTAGCTCTTTCTTGTTACTTGGCAGTTTCCATGGAGGATAATGATGAGTGTTTTTCCTCCTCCTGTTTTCCAAATGTGCCATATCTGCATCAAAAAAAGCAGCTCATGGGCTTAAAGCTCCCTCTGACAGCAGGCTCAGCTCTGTTTCAGTATTTGCCGGAGCACAGCTTAACCCCCAACCAGTGCATATAATGGGCCAACTTGACTGGCCAAGTTTGACATGCAGTCCTCCCTTTGTAATGGGGGTCAGAGCCCACTATGGAGGAGCACTTTATGAGGGGAAGAAGGGTAGAGGAATTTGTAGGGACAAGACAAAAGCTCCTGCAACTCAGAGGTGGCTGCCTTTTTTCTATAGCTGCTCTCTGTTCGCAGTAGTGCAGAAGCCATATTCTGAAGGGTCAAGAGGTCAAGTTAGGCACAGAGCTAATCCCTTCACAAGCTTATTATGAGCTCCTCAATGCGCTGACA